GGTCCTGGATCCTGAGTTTGCCCCACGTTTCCTGGACCTGAGTCTTAACTGTACAGGGAAGGCAAGAGTGCAGTGTTGAGAAACGGGATATTTACTATTTCAAGATTGACTTCTGAAATTCCTAGCCGAGGTCACTTTGTGATTTTCTTAATGCTGCATTTGATGAAAAGAACACGATGATTTCAGAAGAACAGGGTATCTGATTTCCATTCTGGATTTCTGCAAGGTTTTGTTGCCCCTCTCTGGAGTTAAGAAATTTACATTTCTGTTCGGTACCATCCACATCCTCGTCATTCTTACTAGTTTTGGAAAATTGTAATATCTTTCCATAGGGGCCCATCATATAATCCCAGCATGAGAACAGTGATCATACAATTTAATACCGGGAGGAGATTAAATGAATTAAATGAAAAAGTATCTAACAAAATAATTCAGCTGACACCAACAGCAGCTGCCATCTATAATTTGGTATTGTAAAAACCAAACACACACATGCACACATGACCCTCACCCAGGATTTCATTCTTGAATAATAAGAATTGTGTACTAAAACGCAGGCCAATCAAGCATTTCCAGGAGTTCAGTGTTAATTAACTTTCTTTCTCAAGTGAGCTACAAAAATTAGTTTAAGCAGTGCTCCCATCCTGAGCTCCTTTTCTTTCCATATCACTGCAAATAGAGTTGATAAATTGAATATAAAGAAGTTTTCAGTATGATTCTCCTTTTCATGTCATGAGATGTGAAAATACTTCCATATTGTTGCACAAAACAAAGGAGAATTTCTTTTACAAACAAATATCAAATTGAAGTGTTTTAGTCAAAGAGTTCTGAGATAGCAGATTTCTATAAAGGTCTGAGGATTTCAGTTGCTCTTGGCAGAAGATCCCAGAGTTCTAGAAATGGCCAGCATCCTTCTTGGCTGTTGACCTAGCAGGAAGTGCCAAGCCCTTGCTGTCCAGTGGAATGCACACAATAGATTAAGCTGGAAGCCAGTTCTCTATGTAGTGACATTTTTATTTGGAAGACAAAAATTAGTCCAAACACTTGAAAGTTAAAAAGAAGTCTACAACTCCAGTACAGGAGTCTATAACTCCAGCATTTTCTTAGACTTACAGGATACAGGACAAGACACATCTTAGAAGACAGACATGGTCTAATGAACATTAACAATGGGTAATTATTGCAAAAGGCATAGATTTTCATCAGCTGATGTTTGGATCTTGTTTGGATAAGAACATTTTGTTCATGGCATCTGCGCCATGTTTTTGACTTAAGAAGAAATCCCTGGGGAGCAGAAAGACATGGAATTACCAAATATTCAAGCTTCAATGACAGTCTTAATAATGTTTTGACACAAATAACTTGATTCATTTTCTAAAGTTTCTACAGCAGAAAGAAATTACAGAAGCAGCATTTGAGCACTGACATCTTATAGGCTTGTGGCTTTCAGATAGTTTTCTTTTTTTATTTCTTTGAGTTTTTACTCTTTAGTAGTCTTAAGATTGATTAAAGTCTTTTAAATTCACATGGTAATGGAAATATTTCATCTTTGGAAGAATAATAGTGTAATTCAAATATAATGTCTTTTGATAAGTTGAGATTTTAGACAGAAGATAGTGAATATAGCTGTTCAAACACATAGCAAGTCAAGCTTTGTTGAAATGCCTCTCTTGCAGTTTGAAGAGAGTCATCACACATGAGGGCTGTGTTCCTAAGGATGGAAATAGTTGGGGCTCAGGGTTCAAGCTGTCCACAGGGCCAGCTAGAAGTCTAGCTGGTTCTGAGTGTATCTGGAGAGATGAATGAGCCCTGGGCACCGGGGTACCTGGTGTTGCAGGCAGAGTGAGCGCCATGTTCACCCAGCAGGGAGCAGACAAGCCACAGACAGCAGAAGCTCTGGGCTCCAGAGACCTTCCTCTTACCCTTCCAAGGCATCAGCCAGTGTCACTTCCCCCATGTTTCCCATGGGTAAATATCTAATTCCTCTTGTAACTATGCATGAGTTCTTAACTGGTGAGAGGGTTCAAGAGCACAAAGCTCTCTTTGGTGAATTTGAGATTGGAAAATGGCAGTGGCATGACCAAATGCCTCCCAAGTTCCTCACACAGGAGAAAGTGCTTCCTACAAGACCCTGGATAGACCTAGAGGCATCGAGAAGACAAGTGTAGCACATTTTTACAAATAACAAATTCACTGTGACCTTTTGAAGAAACAATAAAAGCATCAGAAGAGGCAAGGGACAGTGCAGACTGAACGGTGACATAGTTTACCATCAATAACCCAGTTATGCTTGTTGGTGTAACAAGATGCGGTGATAAAAACAACTTTTGAGATTAAGTGATAGAAAAGGCAATAAAACATATAATTCTCTAGAATCCTCAACTGACATAAAGTTTAGTGGACATTTTTATTGATATGCCTTTATTTGTTTGCTTGTTTTTTTTTTTTAATGTTTCTTTCTCCCTTGCTCCAAAAAAGGCTTCAAGGCAAATTTAGATGTAGAGAAAAGCACTTCCTCAAGCTATTCATAGAATAAGTGCACGATTGGGTCTTTCGGAACTTTTGTTACAAAGCAGACGTGCTGTCCCAGCATGAAGGGTGTATGTTCTCAGTAACATTGCCGGCGTCTTCTATGAGCTTTGTGGAGTTTATGGCTGCACACACCTGAGACCAGTCGTGGTCCCCATGGCTCCATCAACGTGAGTGCACAACTCCAGCAAAGAAAGTCTTCTGTGGCAATCACCTCTGCACAGGGACATAATTTGTGGTCAGAATGAATGGTTACCTGACCTTCTATGGTCTAGGGTCTCATCGTCCCCAGCAGATGTGTGTGTGTCTGTGTGTCTGTGTGTGAACACTTACTTGAAACGCCATAGATGGAAGAGACTGATTTCACCCATTCTGAGTAGGAGGAAGGCATTACCACCAGATAGACAGGTGTCAAAGATGTCATTTCAGGTATGCAGTTTTAAGATTGACAAGTCATCCAGTCCTTCTGATATCATTTGCAGCCAGCTTTTACAAGCCAATGCAGGGGTGTAGACATCTCCACTTTCAAAATACATACTCGAGGCATTTTAATAAACCTACAGCATCCTGATTCCCGGTACCCTGGACAGATAGAAAGCTCAGGTCACAGCCGTGGTGTTTCAGAGGCTCGGCAGGTCCTGGTTCCTGAACAGAACATCAGATGGCCTGGGCCCCATGGAACACAGACTCCATCACTGACAGGACCTTCACGACCTTAGCATGGTAGGCATCCCTGGAAATAGACGGCTTACCTCAGTCACGGTCCTGACACAAAGCTTCTGATAATAAGGGTAGACGCTGAATTCTTTGGTTACTGATTTTCACCCCTGCATCTGTTTGTCTAATGGGTATTTCCAATTGTGTGCTCCATTGGCGTTAGATACTCAGCACACCTAATTTGATTTACAACAGTGCAATACCGTGAGACATTGTTTTCAGCAGTGGACCCTCCCCCAGGCAGGGCAAGTAGAGCTGACTGCTCCTACCAAGTCATTCTGCCTCATTCATGGTGGTGGTGGTGGGGAACAGGGGCTATTGTCCCCGGACTAGGGCAGAATTCCTCTCTGAAGCACAGTTCAAATGTCCCTTCTAAGCCCCAAACCAGGCAAGACAACAAAAAAGGATCCAAGGCCAAACAATCTGTAAGACCCTGTCCTTCCCAACACTGGATACTCTGAGGATTTCCTCACGACACACAAGAGTTTAAGATCTCCCCAAAACAGTCAAGCACCTGCCTAATCCCCAATGCCATGTGTGATTGGGACCCGTTCCCTAATTCCTCCCTCCCCTTTGTGGCAATTTAAATACCCTTTGTTTGGAACCAGCATTGATGTTTCCTGCTGCTCTTGTGTTCTGGGCATTAAACTGCATTTCTTAAGTAAATCAGAGCTTTGTAGGTGGTAAAGAAGGGAAGCTGCAGAAGGAGACTTCTTAGCAACCCAGAGCAAATGATCCAATGCCTGGCTCTTTTCTCTCCCCTCTCAACATTGTAAAACTCAGCCTTGGTTATTTAGAGATCTCTGGGATGAAATTGGGTTGTGATTTTAGGGACGTATTTTTCTCAAAGGAAGGCACCTCAAATGCAAGTCTGACAGGCAGACTTGGTAGAAAAATCACACATCCATTTTTAAATTGAATTCTGGTGATTCTGAAGAGAGGAAAAGTCGGGAAGAAATAGAAGAAAACAGACCACATGAGCCCTGAAGCTGAACTTTCTTTTTATATCCTTAAAATTTGCATCATGAGATGAAGAGAAATATGTTACTGTAAGACTTTCTTCACAGATGGCCTTAAAATATTGCCTCCCATAAAAACAGTATACAGCCCTCAGACCCATGAGCTGCTAAATCTTCATTTTGTCATTTGTGCTTTGAAGGGCTCAGTTTGACACGATAGTGACTCATTTCTGGAGTCTCTGTTCAGGAACCTGGTACTGTTCCATGCAGATGGTAGCAGGGAGAAGCTTGTGGGGACCTTGTTTTGTGGACATTGCTCTAATTCCCATGAAGCTCGAATTCTTGGGTCGGGGGAGTCATGGACAGGTGAGTGGCTGTGATTGGGGCTGCTATGAGCACCATCTATAAGTCCCACACAGCACCCTCGTGGCACCAGCAAGATGCTCCTCCTGCCTGGAGGCTGAGGTATGACAGCAAGGGTCATGGTGGCAGTGAGGTTGTGGCTCAGGGGACCTCTGAGGTGACTGAGAACACCGTGAGCTGACACAGGTGCAGGTGGATATTGGCACTGGGCAGCTCTGAAAGAAATCATGAGCAGACACAGGAGTAAGTAGGTGACAATCCTCAAGAACTGGGAAGCCGTTTGTGAGTAGGTTTAACAAAAACCCATAGCTCTCTTCTCCTTCGAAAATGCAGAACATTATTTTTCTTCCACAGGTAACTCGGTGTACTTGGCCATTCTTTTAAGGCTGTTCTGCCCTGACCTCAGCTCATTCTTTCCCCTTTCTCTTGTAGGCTTTGACCTAGTGAAATGCGAGGATCCTGGCACCCCTAACTATGGCTACAGGATCCGCGACGAGGGCCACTTCACAGACACCGTGGTGCTATACAGCTGCAACCCCGGCTATGCTATGCACGGCAGCAGCGCCCTGACCTGTCTGAGCGGGGACCGCAGGGTGTGGGACAAACCTGTGCCCTCCTGTGTGGGTGAGTGTGGCAGCCACAGCCAGGTCAAAGAGCCCTGCATGAGGCTTGGACTTGATTGTTAGGAAGAGAGCAGGAGTTGTGCAGTTCTCCTTAGCGGGCGTCTTTATGCATCCATACACGTGTGCACGTGTGTGCACATACGTGTGTGTGCTTGGATTTCAAAGAGGATTTCCCAGTACTAGTTCATGCACTCTGCTACAGAATCATTACTTGAGTTAGTACCTAGTGTGCCAGGGTTTCATGCTCGGTTTCAATGACCCAGAGGACAGAGGTGTTCTGTCATAGTTAGGGTTGGGGCAAAGTAAAGGAAAGAAGTGATAGACAGATAGTTGACAGTTTTTGTTCCATAGGCATGGTAAGTTTTGTTTTCAAAAGCAGCTAAATAGACGCCATGACACCAGAGTGCACTTCCTCATCTCTGGGTCCTTCGTAGCCGAATGCGGAGGTCGGATTCATGCTGCCACATCAGGACGGATCCTGTCCCCTGGCTACCCAGCCCCTTATGACAACAACCTGCACTGCACTTGGATTGTGGAGGCTGACCCAGGAAGGACCATCAGGTACTTGTTACGTTTGGTCTTGCTGTCTTGAAACAGAGGCATGACTTCTGTTCTCATAGTAGAGATCATAGGACATCAGCTTCACAACTGAAGTTCTTGAGCTAAGAAGAAGGTGTAGATAGAGCTGGCTAAATTTTCACTACCTCTCATGCTTACTTTACTGTGCCTTTGAGGTTGTGTGCTCAAGTCTAATGTGATAAAGATAAAAAGAATGTGAGTGTATCAGTTAGCTTTTGCTGCATAACAAAGTACCCCCCAAAACTGAGTAGCTAAAACCAATACACCCCATTGGCTCATGCTGTGGGTTGCCCTGGCTGTTCTGATCTGGTTGAGCTGAGCTGGGCTCAGGGACAGCCTTCCTCAGTTCTGCAGCTTGGGCTGGGCTGGCTGGGAAGGCCAGAACCCCATCCCCCAGCTCCAGTTCCAGCAGTAGTCAAGTCCAGTGGAAAGTTCTTTGCAGCGAGAAATGACAAATTCAGTCTTCTGCTTGCTCTCTGATTGCTGATATGTCATTTGCCAAGGGAAGTCTCAGTGGCCAGTCAGGGCTCAAGATGAGAAAAGATTCCCCCCATCATGGGAAGAGAAGCAAATGACACAACCACAAAAACAGCTTGGCTGGAGACATGGGAGAAGTTGTTTTTGCAAAACACCAAAGTTTCTTTGAGGTAGACCAAGACAGCAGTCCACTCTAAAGTTACACAAATAAACAAAATCACTAAACAGTTCAGAGAGTAGGGCAAATACTTTTTTAAAAAAGTGTTCTGTTCTAGGGGACAGCTCAAGTTTATTATGGTAAGGTTCTCCAACTGACAAAAAGTAGCATTTTTAAAGAGAGTGCTCTGTGTGCTGGCAGGAAGCTGCACCCTCACCATAGCACCAAGCACAAAAGGTAGTTTTAAGGAGTTTTCTTTGATTATAGCTCTCCACAATCTGAAGAGCACACCCAGTCTTTAGCAGTCCTTCCCCAAATCCACTTTCTTTTCACTATAGTTCTTTCCTAAGCTCACTTAAAATTTATTTTTAAAAACCCCAGCCTCCAACTGGCTTAATCCATATGGCTTGGATCTTTAGGCCTCCCTGGTGCTATTGTGTCAGTGAAGACCAAATGAATCTGCCTCCATTCTCACCAATGTCTGTAACGTTGACAAGCAATAACGGGTCAAAGCCACAAGCCTCTTTCTGGGGGTGGATGGATAGAAACACTTATAAACTTATGACTTTTTCCTTAATACACCAAAGGTGCCCTGTCAGATTTGTGATGCACATTAAATAGTATCATCAACTCCTCCTGTTGTACCTTTGTAACTTGACAAAATGAGAAAAGATGAAGGGGAATAAGGAGCAGGACTGTTCCATGCTGTGACACTCTGTTTCTCTTCAGCTGGTGACAACCTCCTCAAATGCCAGGAGGCTGCTTTCCATTTAATCACATTAACTTCTCAGGAGTGATTCCAGCTGCCATGGCACAAACCGTTGCCATTTACAAACCTTACATAAGACTCCCACTTTGTAAGAGGAGCAAAAAAGAGAACTCAAAGCAAAGCAATAAACAATAAAACAAACCACAAAAGTAAAAGGGAGACTCTGAGGGAACAGGAAGGGGACTGGCAGGAGTAGGGAGGGAGGCAATTGTGTGTAATGGGGGTGGATATCATCAAAGAACCTTATATACACGCAGGAAAATGTCACCATAATCCCATGATTTTGTAAAATTAATATACATTTAGAAAAATATAAATGATGCAAACATTACTGTATAAGTTATTTAAAAATGGATCCTTACTCATGATAAATGGTTAATTAATAATTATTGCTATATTGGGACAATATCAAGACGCATTTAAGTAACAGAATTTAAGATATCGTATTCTCTATAGAAATCAAGTCATTTTTTCATGGAATGAAAAAAATTAAATATTAGCTCTTAACTTTGAATACCTGTATACTTGGTTTGAGTGGTATACCCACTATTCAACTGGGCTTTGATTTTTTAAAGAAGTAAGTAGAAAGCACCCATGATAATGGAAATAAACTTCATTTAAACAGAATTTGTTCTCGTTTTAGAGAATTTCAAACTCCACTGTAGTTGTAATTTCCCTTGTGATTTGTATTCCTACATTAGAATGATCCCTGCCTCCCCTACCAGCAAAGAGATGAGGTCTTGCTTTGCAGTGAATCCGTGTCTTCATTTAGTACGAAAAGAAGAAGGACATTAATGAGGAACAAAGTGATGTCACAATGAATGCTCAACTTTTCTAATGCAAGCTGACTTTGATACTTAACAATCAGCATTTTAGAAAAAAGCCATTCTATTCACCAGTGTAGTGCACTGTTCTGAAATCTGTTCTTTTCATCTATGTCTTTCAAACATAAGAGCATGACCTGTCAAAATTATAAACATCTTTTAAGTCTAAGGCATGAAATCTTTGCTAGTAGTGAAAGAGACATCAGTGTTTTAAAATGATTTACTCAGTTGATACTCAACCCCATTCCTTCATGTTTCTAATAGCTAAGTAAATTTAGAAAACATGTGCAATTTTTAAATAGAGCAGTTTGAGAAATAATGCAATTAAAAGCATATCATATACAATTACAGGCTTAAAATTGTACTGGTATAAAGATCTGATCTGATCTTAGCTTAGCTTTGATATTTGCTAGCTTATTTAGTAAGCCTGAGTAATTCCATTGGTAACACGGCCTATTTGAAAGTGAATACATCTGTCATATAAATATGAGTCCAGAGCCAGGCACCAGTAGCTCATGCCTGTAATCCTAGCTACTCAGGAGGCAGAGATCAGGAGGATTGTGGTTCAAAGCCAGCCAGGGGAAATAGTTCATGAGCCCCTGTCTCAAAAACCCTTCACAAAAGTAGGGCTGGTGGAGTGGCTCAAGGTGAAGGCCCTGAACTCAAGCCCCAGTTCTGCACCCCCCAAAAATAAATAGAGTCCAGGTTTATTTTAAGTAACAAACTGCTCATAATGCAAATGGAATTCATTGCTATGCATTCATCCCAGGACTTTTAGATGTAAATGTTTTCATTCTCAAAAAGTGAATAGACAACAGGACGTAGGAAGATGTAAAAGGGCTGGCTTTAATTCTCTGGTCATTGGTTAGTGGACCACCTTTGATTTCTTGAGGACCAGAGAACTTTCTTATTTTATATTACCGTGACTTTTTCCTTAAGGTACTAGAAGACCCCAAAATAGTTATAATGGTGCACTTGAGTCTGGAAGAGATTTGTAACTTTAGCATATAAGCTATAAAGCAGTTACCTAGACTGGATTTAATTAAAAATCTAATAACAAGACATGGTAGCAAATTTAGTCCTGTTTGAGTTATGTGTAAGTGTTTCTCTAAGACATCCTTGTATTTCAGGGATGAGCACCACTCTGATTTATAGGATAAAGGTAACAGAAGTATAAGCCTCATCACAAGCAGCATTAAAGGCTCTGTTCTACATAATCACATGAGTGTATTGTTCCTTAGTTTTAATCTTTGATTGTCCTCAAAGCTCACTTTGAATATATTTCTGTTCCTAATCTTCCCCAGGAAATTGCGTTTAGTAGTACAGTCGAAGGTAATTCTTCTTAAAAAGCGAAGCATTAGAGACATATCAAAATTTGATCAAGGTTGTCAAAGCTATCCCTAACACAGACACAGACTTGAAAAGAAAGTAGCAGATGGATTGATAATGATTCAGGTGTCACTTGGCATGTCCTGGATTCATTACTGCCTTTTCTACCAGGCAGTAGAGAGGTGGGTGAGATCTGCTTTGGAGATCTTGGATAATCTTAATCTACTTTTGAGCAGTCTTTGAGATCCCTATAGGAAATAAGATACTCAAGGGAAAATTGCAGGTAACTGATCTCCCCCCTCGCCACCCCATGGGCCTTTTTCCAGGGATGGAGCCTTGTCAGTGTGCTCAGTGCATAACTGGAAACAGGTGACTGGGAGTCAAATCTTCTCAAACTCTGCTTCCTATTAAGATTGAAATGGGACCTCACCAATCTTTTTGTAGATAATATGAGGAAATAACCATAAAGAGATTTCAGCCATCAAAAGAAAGGAGAGCAACAGAGATACCACATTTGTCCCTGTGTCCAAGGCTGCTCCTCCAGCCTCCTTAGCTGGGACTTGGAAGGAGCTGTGAATGAGGCAGAGAGAAGGAAACTGGGAGTATCCATCCCTTTGCAGGAATCTCATACCCACAGTATAACCGGCATAATCCACTTAAGGTACACTAGTCCCCACAACGTAGTTGACATTTCTGTACAGGATGTAGGAACTGTGAACACATGTGGAAGAGGCAAGTATGCTATCAGCTCTTGGGTTCCCACAGCACTGAGTGAACACAGTAATGGACACACACCATCATCAGTAGCTGGCCACTGTCTCTGTCCAACTCATGCACAGGCAGCCAAGTAGGTAGTTGTGTCACTTCCTTGTCCCCCAGAGATAAACTTATTTGATATTTTACAAAGCAGATCACCAAAAAAGGGAATTTCCAATACATTGGAAGTGCAGTAAAGAAATGGAAAGTGATATTGTGAGAACTAAAATTCAAATCACTTAAGTGGAGTTACCTGAGAATTGCTGAGGATGGGATGTTGATGGGGCAGCATCGGAAAGCCATGTGGACAGTGGTTCCCATGTGGTGGGTGGAGATGGCCTACCAAAAATGACCCACAAAGAAACCATTACCGAGATTCCCAGAGCTTGCTCAAGTCATAGAAAGAGCAAAAAATGGAGCATTGGGGCTGATCCAGACATCCCTGGTATCTCTCCATAACTCGTACTTTTCCCGTTCTTCAGTGAATTCACAGATCCACTCCACACACTTCTATTACCCCCCACACCCCACCCCATCCCACCCCATCCCACCCCATCTGATTCTTCGTTCACTATTTCTGTCAATGTCCATCTTCCTCCAAGGGGCTGGTCTTAATTTTTAGAATTATCCTCTACTGTTCCTCATTTCTTCTTCCCAAACCTCCAATTTT